GGAATGCGGTTCCAACTTTTAACGATGAAGTACAAAAAGGAATCTTTTGCTCGTTTCTTTTCAACTGGCTGACGTCCGGATCCCGGGCCGCAGAGCCTCAGGCAATCTGACGCCTCACCTCGGCCGACTTGCTTAACCGCTTATAGTTGAAGACTAACAATCGATCCAGTCGCAGGTATAGCGCTTCGAATCTGATCCCTGAGTTTTTTCGCGCGCTTCCGACTTGTTATACACAAGGAGAATAAACAGAACAAAGGATTGCAAGCCCGGCCAAGCTAAACGCGCTCATTGTTGCCAATCGAGTCGATAAAAACCGAAACTGAGACAAAAAAAAAAAAAAATTGGTGCACGTTGTGCGATTTAGTGCATAATGGCGCAAGGTATTGGCTGTGGTGGAGTTTCCGCGAAATGGCGCAGGATGGCGCAGACAAATCCGTTTGGCGCAAAATGGCGCAAATGGCGCAGCCGTTCCACCCCTGCAACTCGGAGCAGGTGATCACGCAGATCCGTGCTCGCCGACGTCGACTGCGACGGCGTTTGTTCTTGCCAGGACTCGAACGCGGTAGCCTGACGGGACGTGAATGGAGTTTGCCGCCAGTCGGATGACGTCTACGATGGTTTTCTAAGATAGACAGGCGATGCGGAGTGCTTTTGTCGGTCGAAAAACGAGCGTGTGTTCGATTTCCGGGCTCGTGCTGAGGGTCGTACTTCAGCCGTTGAGGCACTCGTAATGTGCGAGTGTATTTCACACGCTGCCGGTAGAGGAGGTAGTAGGAGAGGTTAAGTTTAGGTGTGATTGGGGAGCCGACGACATCTCTGTGTCGTGGTAAGCCAGAAAATATGGCTTCGAAGGTGTGTTAGGCTTTGCTGCCCCCAGCTGGGCGAAACCTGTACGGCGCTTTCTGTTCCCAGGCGGGGTGAATTGATTGAGAAAGCAGGAAGGTGTGACCAATCGCTCACCGAAAGTGGTCTGAGGGGGCCACGTGGTGTCTTGTGGGCCGTCGGCGTAGTCGGGTAACCAAAAAAGGTTTCCGATTCGAGCTTGTTTTGCTGGTGGGTAAGCTGGATGGAGGCGGTGGCATGGAAGAGTGCGGACGGCTTGTACCCCAAATAATACAGTTGTCCGGGGGGTAAAGTTTAAATTCGGCCGATGCCAGTAGTACTCGCGAACGTTTTCGGCAGTTTTCGGGGGTCGCAGCTTCATAAAGACCACCAAATATGAGCGTGAAATCAGAGATCGACGTAGACGCGCGTCCCTCTGCGACCTTCTATATTCGAACACCCCCTTGCGGTGGTTGTTACGGCACGATAGTGACGTTTCAGTCTTAAAAATTAGCTTTTACTAGTGTTTATACCGTATTTACTCGAGTAATAGCCGCACTATTTATTAACCAGGGCCTTGCGTCCACTTTCCCACAGAATACATATACAGCCAGTCATTGCGGTGCGCATAAATAACATAGCGAATAACCTGCTCGAGAGCACGATTCTCTATACAAATGCAATCTATACAGATGGTATCTTCGCACGAAAACGTTATCTCTGCCCCGTAAACCGCTGCAATCATGCCGTCGATCGCGGTGATTGGCAATCCTCGCGCTCCGCGGAAAAGCGAACCCTCAGGTTTTCTTCATAAAGAGTGCGGCTATTACTCGAGTAAATACGGTAGTCCATTACCTTCCGAGTATAGTTTTGTAGCTATTGTTAAAACAGGTAATAGCTAGATTATATTAAAAATACCTACTCGGCTCCACTTTTTTTCTGGAGTTCGGGTTGTTCTGGCATGCGATACCAAAACGTTCTGGCATTTTCGCGAAGAGCGAGTCCGGATGGATAATACTCAGTCACGATTTATCGACACCTTATACATACCAAGGCCATGGTGCTGGGCCCTCCACGTCACCTGCCGAAGGCCGGGAAGGAATTGAACACGAGTGCCGTGTTCTGCTGCGGCTCGTGCTCAACGAGTGAGAACACGAGTGATCCAAATGCCGACGCAGCAATCGTGTCCGATTTCTGCCTCGCGCTGGCTTACAGTAAGTCACGTGAAAAGTCCTCCACTATGGCGCCTGGAACGCCTCTCCGAGTGGCGTATTTACGGCGTCTCCAAAAAAACTTGTCCTTCGATTTCCGCCCGATGACGTCATGCAAGTGTCATGCGGTCGCAGGTCGCGATCCTGGCGGTGTGACAGCAACGGAGGTGGATGTGGAAGACGCCCGTTCCGCTGCAGGTGAATCTCTAGTTGGACAGTTTACGGAAGCTTGGCAGTCAGAAGTTGGGACGCTGCGACGACAGCGACTTTCGCGTGGACTCGTTCATTTTGTCAGAAATTCTGCGACCAACCACCAGGATCGCGACATCGGCTTCTGTGGCGTCACTTGTTCGCACTTCGCGATTACTTTCGATGTACGAGAGGGATAGGACGCTAAACACACCTCCCTGATAACGCGTTCCAGGCACCATACCAGCTCTACGACCTAGGTAGAAGGTGTTGGTGAATTTTTCTGAAGGTCTAATATGGGTATCCGTGAGAGCAAGAGCGAAATCTAAGCTGGCTCTCACAAAGCGAGATAAAAACTCGTTAGCTGACGATTTGTCAGCCAAAGAGCAGGCGAAGAAGGCCAACGTGTATAGAAAAAGCGTGCACACGTCATCAGCTAACAAAATAAGGAAAGGCGGTCCGCCTTCCCTTATTTTGTTATGATTTCAGTCCCGCTGGCGAAGTGATCGTACAGAAGGTTAAATTGTGAGCGTCTGCTATATCACGAAGGAAGCAATCAACAACCCAAGCTTCCTTTTCAAGGGTCGTTAGTTTAGCTTCCGTACACATACTGGTATCCACGTGTGAAACAAAAAAAAGAAAGCATACCGGGACAAGTACCTCAGGCCGCGGTAAGCGAGTTTCAACAATCATTCATTTGCAAGTGAAAAGACTCCATCGCCAATTGTAAACTCGCGACCTTATTCATTTTTTTATAGAGTGATAACGTTCGTTTATAAAAGGGCTCGTACACCAAGCTTAATTAGTGGCCGAGTAAAAAAATACAATATGCGCAGGAAAAACTAAGCAATTGAAACGCTCTACTCACAACCCATATTGTTTGCACTTTTTCACTTTTGCAATTTGCTGTTTTACCTTTTTACAGCAAATAGCTGCTGGCGTGTTTTGCAGAGACATGCAACCATGTATTTGTAGTTTAGATATTAATGCTTACTGATTACCAGCTGAACGTGGTTGAGCAATATTTATATAATTTTAAGCTGCATGTTAGGGTTTTCCAACTATCTTTATTAACTTCTTGAGGAACCATTCCCAACATGCTGCTACGACGGTGAATGCTTGTGGTTGTTCGTGCGACGTTCCTACGAAGGGGCGCGAAAATGTAAGGCTTTTTACTAGACTAACAACTTTTAAGGTATTGCATTGCGATATTTCATTTATTGCCATAGTATATTGCCGCACGCAATATACTATGGCAGGGCCGAACTTCTAGAAGATTCGCTTTTATTCTTACTCTCCTGCTTCCTTGTTCTCAAAAGTGACTGCTCATTCTCACTCTGAACGCTTGATGCTCGAACTTTCTGGGCCGAATTTTCGTTATGCCGACGCACACTAGACAAGGAGTTACCCATGACCTTGTCGAGTCAGTCTCGCTCTCGCTTCCTGTAACGTCGCCGAATCGGCGCCCGATTTTCTGCTGTATCGGCGCTCGTTCTTTTTTTTTTCACGGCACAAGCTCGCCGATTAAACATTTTTTTTCAGTAAATTTTTATCGTCTCTTCGCGTTACCTCGCGGCAGTATTGTGGCCTTGTTAAACTCAGAATCATCATAAAACCTACAAAAGTAAATCGTTTTTGTTTCAGTGTGTTCACCTTTGCAGCAAAAACAACAACAAAACATTAGCAAACAAAAAGGCGCCTTCGGATTTTCGCCTACCAGCAAAACGAGTAATCACACTAGACAAATTGCTTCATGGGAACTCGTTCGTTAACCGCCCTTCTGACTCGTGACCAAACCAAGCTGCCAGGCGATTTGTCGCCGACTAGTGCAGCCTATGAGTCGCCAAGCAAACGACGCCCCAAAGTAACGACACTTCAGCCACTGGATGGGCAGATGCCAAAGCTGCACCCTTGCGCCATCTAGCCTAAAGGCTAAAAACCCAAAGTATGGTTGCTCCCCTCGGCCTTTTAAGCCAATCTCGTTCCCCTCTGAAATGTTGTAGCCATCAACAGGCGGTGTGGGATATCACCAGGATGGGTCAACTTTGGTGCCTAACGTCATTGTTTCTAGAGACACAAAGCTTTATTTGAAATCGCGAGAAACGCGTTTCCGCCATTTGTAAATCTTAAAACGGCTCGAGAGAAGAAAAACAATATCGCCAGAGCTTTCTGACACCGAATAAAAAACTGAGGAAGTCGTTTTTTTTTTTTTGCACTAAGCAAAAAGATGGCTGCGCCAGGAAGGCAGGTTGTTGTATGGACAGCCGTTATTATAAGCGTAGCTTATTTGGTAGCTATAGTCAGTGGCGTACCAACTTGTTTTTGAGTTGGGGGGGGGGGGGCAAACCAGAACCCCCCCCCCCCCCCCCAGGGCCGGGGTGGTGCCCTTTGTATCCCTGTGGCGCCGACGGGTAGTGCTTGCCGTGCCCAGTGGCGCCTTATTCAGGGAGGTCAAAATACATGCCTTGCCCCCCACTCTGAGAACTGAGGGGGGGGGGGGGGCAAGCGCCCCCCTTGCCCCCCCGGCTATAGTGTGCTGGGTTCAGCTACTAACAGAGCTACCGGCATTTAAACAAGCAATTATTTCAACCGCGGTGGAGGCCTCAAATCCGGAGACGTGAAGTTTAGTAGCGCTATAGCATATCTCCGCGGCATTGTAGGCAACGTTTAGGCTTCGTTACCAAAAATACGGAACTCTATAGTATTCACAAGATTTGGCCACACGCTTTGGTGTTATATTCGGTAGGTCTTGCGAGTCGAAGTAGAGTGAAGACACAGATGTTCTGTGCGGCACACCTTCAGGATCCCCTCTGGTCTCCAATGGCATGGAACTACGAAGCTTCTGCTGTGCGGACGATCACGTTCAAACGGTCGCCGTCGGGCCAGCACAGGAGCCCATCTCGGCTGGGCTTCGACCTGCACGTGGACGAAGGGCAAGGGTTCTTCGTGTCCCACGTGGACACTGCCTCCTCGGCTTTCCTGGCGGGACTGCGCCCCGGAGACCGAATACTGGCGGCCAACCACGTGTCCTTCCGTGGCGTCGACCTGGCTTCGGCTTTTCAGGTTGGTGCTGCGAGACTCGCTCGGGAGATACGCCGACAGAATTGGCAGTCTTTGTCCATTGACACCGTGGAATGAGTGGCTCCCAGAGTATGTTGCACCTGATCACCCTTCGCGCTCGCCTTCTGAGTGAATGAGCTTAATTACGTGATAATTTTGCCTTGCTATATGATTTTGCGACTGCGTGAAGCACGCGTAATGCCACAGCGCAAACGTAATTTTTCGGTCTAAACGGATGTTCCGCCTCAACAATCGCTGAGCTGATTTCGCAGATCGCAGAGATTGGCTCTTTGGGTGTTTTGCGGGTAAGTAGACGTGCAGGCATTTCTTGGAGTGTGGTGTAGTGTACAGATGACAGAGCAACGCTGACGACGGTTGAAATGAGACTTGCGGGCGAGGGTGAGAGGACGACGTTGCGGTTGATAATGGCCCAGTGTTGCTGAGTGAGTAGCTTGCTGGGTCGGTCTGAGGGTGCTTTGTGCCGCCGGCTGAACCCGGTGAAGTGTTCGAGAGGTAAGCCTTCCAGAATAGGCAACCTGCATTGCTGTTTGGTTTGGCGCCATCTAGCGACTGAAGCAAGAAATACTGGGAATATAAGGAAGCCGTGATCGCGTAACGTGCCAGTAGAGCGGAAGCTAATGCCCTGGCGGGCCAATCGGAACGTGACTGCGTGTCGCCGGAGCGCGCCTCAACTCCGAAGAAATATCAGGCTTTTCGCTGCGTCATGCTCCAATATGTGTGCGTTGCGCTCGTATACGCCGCGCATTTCGAAGCCTTCGGCACGCAATGTGGGGCTTATCGTTCGCCGTTTGCCAAGTTACCACGAGACAGGGTATAACCGTGCGTTCTCACCCTGCTGGTGCTGCCTGGCCGTTACCGGCGGCCTATGGTGTCCGGTGGATGCACCGTGTGTTGGGGCATATCACCTCGAGTCGAGGCGCGTGGTGATACAGGAAAAGGGTGGCAGTTTATCGCTTTACTGCAAAATACTGTGATATTTCCTGAAGATTTTATTTAGATTTGGAAAAAGGACTGAATGTAACCACCAGGTACATATTGCATAATCACCACGCGTGGTGTATTGACGAGATAGAAACCTGAAGGACATGTAGGGGCACTCAAAAACAAGGGTTCAGACATTTCTGGTTGTGGATATTCCCAGACGTCCAGATGTGAGATTTGCAAGTATGTAGAAATTAAAATCTTCTCACTAGCGCGAACTCTGACTTTGTTTTCAAAATCACTGGAAACCTCTACTTTGATACGCCTAACGTAGCCTAGGGGCGAGGGAGACCTCGCGCATAGGCTGCGCGTTGAATCCCAAATTTTTCGTTAAATGGGGAAATTCGTAAAAGCGGGTTTCGTTAAATCGAGGTTCAACGTACTTTATTTCGGTTGCTTTTTAATAATAACAAGCTTAATGTCAAGTTCATACCCGCGCTCCCGTTCTCAAAACATACGAATCTTTAAGATCATAGCATTAACAAAATATATATCATCGTTCTTGAATCTGGGTTTATCTCTGGTTACGATAGGGAATTGAAGGAGGCTATCTTCATTCACAAATTCACTTCGGTTGCTTGTAGTATCAACTCAAGTCCAAGCGTGCTCACTTGGCTGCCACGGTCTATGTAGGACCGAAGCCACAAAATTGTTTTGGTTCTGCACGGACTGTACTAGACGGAAGCGTCTATTACATTGTTGCGCCAAAAGGTATTTCCCATCGTGGAACTCATTCCACCCTTCTCGTTAACGTCCTCGTGAGCGTGCGTCCCGCGGAAATCCTTTCGCTGCGTTGAATTTCTTGGCGCAAAAGCATAATTAAAATATAATATAAATACTTCACAACGAACCGCCACAGCCCTCTTGCGCTGTCTAGATCTCCGCTCTCGAAGCAGCGTTGATCCCGCAGACATCCTCATTGAAACTTCTGCGTGCACTCCGTTTGCTCGGGCGTGATTTTGCTTATTAACTGTGACAAAGAGAGTGACACATACTGCAAATCAAATTATTTATTTTTAATGATTCTAATTATTATTGTTTATAATAACTGTTTTCAATTATTTACTGATCATTTCGTTGCTCGTTTTCTGGATATTTTTAATACTGTTTGTAGCAACTCCTCCTCTTTCATTTCAATGTCGACAAAAAGAAGAGGACATTTTACACACCATCCAATCCTGAAGAAAAGTGGTACCCGCTTGAAACGTTGGTGAATTAAAGGAGGAATAGTGCAACAAACCTCTGCTGCGCTCTCCTCGCACAACGCAGTAGAGGCTGGTTGCACTATTTCTCCACGGGGCGCGGGGCCGTCGGCGCCGAGATGCGCTCCGATTGCCAACGGACACTTAAAAACCCGTCGAATATGTGCAGTCTTTCAGAAAGCCGCAAATTGCTGCGCGTGCCTTCTATCGTTCTGATATTTGTTGATTTAGTGTTTCCCTTCAACACAATATTAAAAAAGTTTATTACGGAAAAATAATTAACAATCTATTTATCCCAAACTTTAATAATTTTCCTCAATAGGCCCGTCGCACAGGACCAAAACGACAGAAGCTATTTTTTGTTGCGACGCGTAGTTGTCGCAAAATTGAATTTGTTCAGCTTTCGTGAAACACCGTGTATATATATAACTTTCTTTTGCCATGCACAGATGTTGGAATCCCACCGCACCCTTCGGCTGAGCGTAGTGTCCCCCTGCTGGACAACAGGTTATACCTGGACTACCTGCGACGGAAGGCCCACTTCGCCACCTGCCAACTGCGAGGCCCCAGTACACAAGGTGAAGGAAGCTGTCGTGGGTGTCGTGATGGGAGTCGCAGGCCGAAAAATCAAGAAAGCGGCCTTCCCATTCTTTCTAGTAATTTTGGTTCGCTTTCTTTGTTCGGCATCATGCGTCCTTTCATGTACCCCACTGATTTCTTTTCAATATTTTACTTTAGCAGTTTCTCCTGGTAAAACAAAGACCAGTTCTAGATGTCACCTCATTAAAAAGCCTACCAGGAGAGAAACAAAACACCTAAATGTATATCAGGCTAATGGTTTATCGTTTTAGAACATCTGGTTACCTTATAATTTGATGGTTTGATGGTTACCTTTGATAGTATGATGGTCTGGTGGTCTCACGGCTTGATGGTCAAATGGTCAGTTGCATATAAGGTTTGGCAAGACACAAATTTCAGTACAAACACAGCTCGATACTTTAATTAGGATTTATTGTTTTTTCCATAAAATTTCCAAAGCATTTGCAAGGCTCAAAATGTCTGTGAAAATCTAAAAAAAATAACATTTTATATTTTGTTTAGGACTGGGTGATCCGCCAACCCCGACTAAAATCTGTATATGTTATACATGCTACTCTCGGGGCAAAGCAACTCTAAAATATTACGTCGCCTGTTACTTGGCATAGCTGCATCTGCTTCTGTATACGATAGTAGAATGTTTTAGGAAAAGGTGCGCTAAAGCCTCACTACCCATAGAACTTGCGAAACCGTGTTCTTGTGTTTTTTTGTTTTTTTTTGACGAAAGCTGCAGCTTTTGACTTCTTGCTGTTATCTGTTATTTAGTAAACACTCCGTGTTTCTTATGAAATAAGTTTCTGAAAAGCTAGAACAAATTTCAGGCACATTTAGCATACTTTGAACCGCAAGCACATGTCATAACTGGTGTTCAAATGAGCCTCTCATCGACAAAATGAGAAACAATTTAGAACAGAACTATATAACTAGAAAAACAAATCAAAAATTTTAATTCGATTCCTCCTTCACTTTCGAAGCACGCTGCAAGGATTTTCAAAGGCAATGATCCTCTGCGAAGAGTCGAGTGCACGCGTGATCTTGGTGTATACATAGACTCTTCGTTATACTTTACTGTACATGTTAACAACCTTATAAATGGCTCTTTGCGTAAGCTGGGAGTAATTTCTAGAATCACGCGTGAGTTCTCCACATCAACCTGTATTTTTCGGTTATATTTCTCGTTAATCCGGACCAAGTTGGAGTTTTCCTCTGTAGTCTGGAATTATATTAGTTCTACGAGCCAAGAGATTATTGAAAATGTTCAAAAGCGTTTTTTTCGAATTGTTTACGATCGTTTCATTGGTCGTACTGTTTATTACTCTTATGCGAGACTCTTGGAACGATGCAAATTCCCTACTTTGAGTTCCAGACGGCGTGAGCGCGATCTTGTTTTCTTGTATAAATTCGTGGATTGTATTCATGGATTAATTGATTGCCCATCTGCTATTAATATTCACGTTCCGAGTCGAGTTTTGCGGGTTTCTCCAACTTTCCATGTTAATCACATCATCCCAACTAGTCCCATGACCCGTATTCAATACTTCTACAATACCCTCAGGGGAGCAGATATTGATGTTTTCAACCCAAATTTCGTAGCTTTTAAGACTTTTGTAACTAACCTGTGCACATTTTGTTGTGCATCATTACCAAGGCGTCAAGCTGTTCATGAGCATACAAAATAAACAAATGAATGAATGAATGAATGAATGAATGAATGAAAGCGACTCATCACAGATCGAGTATTCTGTTAGTGGAGATCAAATTCTTAGTCTTGCCAAAAACCGCTACTAACCTTCAAAACAAATGCCATCCTTGCATTCGCGACGATGCGAGAGCTATGGCGCCATCTCTCGGCTGCCGCTCGAACGTAACGAAGGTCGTCAGTTTCCATCAAGCTCCGCAGGATGTCCTCCCGACACCATCGAACTTTTTGCACTCCCTGTGGGCTCCATGAGAAATGTACCGCGGTTCGTCAGTCTCCACAACGGACCTTTGATTGTTCACCAGCCACCATCGGATAGTTTTTTTTTTATATTTTATCACAGATCACCAGGAATGTTTGGCAGAGCCTCAGACACCCTCAAGAATGTCTGAGAGTCGTTTCAATCGGCGTTGCTGTCCATAAATATTCAGTAGCAACAGAAAATGAATTAAAAGAATACGGTATGTTTCGTACTAGCCCTTTTTTTTATAAACCATAAAGAGAATTATTTAGGATATCCATGCCAAGTAAAAATTTAAGTTATGCTATGAAAATTTGTTTATAATATACTAAAACATATAACAGATTGGGTGAAACGGGCGATAAATATTTTTGTTACGATGAAAAGATGGTTTATTTGTAGACGAATAGCTATGGGGGGGCTGAAAATTTTTCGAAGTTGTAGCACCGAGCTTAGAGATCGACACCCATATCTTTCATCCTTTTTATATAAGGAGTATCACCACGCAGGCGGGAAGAAAGCGGCGTCTCGTCGTAGGTTATCAGGTAGATAGGAAATGTATCGTTTCAGACGAAACACCTTCAGTGTGTCTAGTGGTTTCCAGCGCCTCTTAGTCTTTTCGTTCAAGGAATATATCACATATGCCATGCCCCTAGATTTGTGATGACTGCGGTGTATATAGCTATGCAGAGGCTTGTCGGCAAGCCCGACGCTGCGTTGCGTTGCCCGGATCACACATAGGTCACCAGGAGAGAAAGCAACATGCTGATGTGAGCGATTGTAGTGGGCCCACTGGCGTTCTTTAGAGTCAAGCGTGCGCAGGTGAGCTAATCAACCTATTGCTTAATTACCCAAGCAACAAAGAGAATGCTTGGAATGAATTAATACGCACCGCACGCGCTCGCCTTTTCCGGAAAAATAGTTTAAAGGGCAACTCCGCTCAATTTTTGCTACTGAGAAAACAATGTAATTCTATTCAGTATAATCTAGAAAGGCTACGAGTCAAATATTGGAATTGAATTCCGTCTAAAAAAGTTGTACAAGCGCGAAAGTAACAATATCGGTTAACTATAGCGGGAACGTGCGGCGCAGCCAACACTGCACTTCCGCCGATCTGCTTCCGCCGCTTCCACCGTCAGTGACGTCTATAGCATGCGCAGGTGTTTTCTTCGGTTTTTCGTTTCGAGGTACAGATCCCACAGGCGGCGCCACGCTCGCCGCCTCCGGCGGTTACTCTGCCCTCTGACTCAACCAACTATTGTGACTCCACCTACTCTACCTCGGAGGCGGTGTCCACGTGATCTGCGAGCGAACGCGGAGGCTCCGGTTGCGTCTTTGCCGTTGTGCTGGTTGTGCCGTCTTCATCTTTCGTTGTTTCGTGTTTTATTTGGGCAAGAGGCGCGTAGATTTGTTCCTGGTGTGCCTTCGTAATGGCTGGCAGAAAGCGCAAAGGCAGAGGCTCACGTCGTTGTGTCGCTGGCTGCCCGAACTACCAGCTAAACAGCCCAGGAGCCCTCTCTTCCACAGGTTTCCTGGCGACATTGAACGGCGGAAACTTTGGACGGACGTCCTTGTCGCCAACTGCCAGGATATTGATCTGTTCCGATCAGTTCTTGCCCGAATGTTACGAGCGAAATATGCGCGTGTTAGCTGACTGTGGCTTCTCGACGAAATACGCGAAGCTGAAGCCGGACGCCGTGCCGTCGATCTTCGCACGCGGCACAGCTTCCCCGACAGCAGACTGCTCAGCGGTGGCGCCATCATGTTCAGATCTCGACAGCCAGGAAATTGAGTGGCTAACGCGATTTTACGTCGGCAACATATGCAATCAAATATTACTCTAGCACATCGCTTTGGCATAGACAAGTGTTGAGCGATTGCTCATGCAACCAAAACACGTTTTCACTACGCGATCGCGGGCTTTTGAGATGTATCTTTTTCGCGGGGCAATGTTAACACGATGCACGATGCGTACGTTCACTGTCTCCTGACAGACTGGCAGTCGCTCATACGCAACAACGCAGTCGTTTCTATCGGAGAGTTGCATGGGTTCATATACACGGGGGCTATTAGAACTACGTAATCGGAATTTAGAACAACGAACGGTCGCACCACACAAGTTATTAGAACAACGAACAAAAGCCACACATGCTGACTACGTTGCAACAGTCCTTACTCAGACCCGTTCAGGTTAGAAATACAGCTCTCCCAGCGTGCAAGCGCGTGCAGCGTGCACGAGAACGTAGCGTTGACAAGCTTGTGATTGCACTGGCTTCCCCGCATAAAGTATGACGGCGGCTACAGGCCCAGCTTGCATCTACTACAATTGCGTACAAACTATACCTTGGCAAGAACTTACCTCGTTGTGTGTTACGGTTCACAACGGAAATGAAGCGGGAGCCGTCCTGTGCAGCCGATGCGATGCAGACGACGTGTGTGCAGCGCCTGTCCGTGCGGAAGGCCACGTGACCCTTTCTATCCCACGTGGTGTGTGCATGCTCTCGACGTCGACCGTAGACGCTGACGATAGTGTTGCCCATCCTTGCCGAAGTTTCGGTTTCGTTTTGCGATTTTGCTTCTTTCAAGATTACTCGGAAATTAATTTACTTTTCGGGGAAAAGAGTATGCAGGGTCGTTTATGAGTGCTTTGCAAGATAACATCATCCACTAACTCCAAATTTTCAAAATTGAGTGGAGTTGCCCTTTAAAGAAAATAACCACAATAAAGCGTTGACAAAAAAGCGCGTAAGTTACTATTTGTTTTAGGCTTTTGCTTCAGAACTGACTGCTGGAGACGCCAGCACTTGCAGCGCATGTAACAACATTCGCAGCGTGCTACTTGGATCTTGGCTTATTTAGTAAAAGGTCCAAAGAGCCATTTTACAAAGTGCTTCATGCATACGTGACGCTGCCATAACTGTAGTTCACAGAAGGCAAATGCCAGTGCACAAGTAGGCTCGCGTCATATCAGGCACTGCTCGTGCAGACAGGCAATGGGGTTGTCCCACTTAAAGAAAAACTGCAGTTCCCACGATGCATGC